GGAATTTATGCCGAAAAACAAACAGATCTTTAATCAGGGTCTTCTTCTTAAGATTTCTTTAACGGATTCAACAAAAGCGCGGATTCCGTTCTTAATAAAATTGATCAAATTTCCCTTGCACTTAGAAAAATTAGCAGGTAATATTGTCCATATAGTGACCGATTTTGTAGTCCACAGCAAAAACAGAGAACAGATACGACATTTGCCGAATAAAAATGGGTAATAATGACCCATACAAGAACAAAAAATATAACTCAGTACTCACTGCAATGAGTGACAGAGAGCGCATTTTCTCGTCTACGAAAACTTGAGGTCACGGACGGACGGACAGACAGACAGGCAGACGGACAGACAGATGGACATGGCGAGAACAATAGTGCATTTTTTCCATTAATGAGAAAATGCGCTAAAAATGCATCGACATTTGAACAATACATCACTCGTTCCTCCTAGTGTGGCGTTGATCTGGAAATCCACATTAAATCCGGCTATTTCAGACTTGGTTAGCACAGCGAAAGCTATCAAGCACAAGCGATCTAAAACGTAAAACTTCGCACGAGAAAATACCTCGGAAAACTTAACTGTTCCCCAACTTCGTCCATTACACCCCAATTTAGCAGCTAGAAAAAATACTAACGTAAAGTCCGGCGACGTTTTTAGTCTGCAGTGTGGTTTGCTTGCAGTGCATCCTTCCAAAAATTGTGAAAAAAAAATAAAAAAAATTAAAAAATTTTGAATAGAATTCTGAAAAAATTCTGAGCAAACACCGATCATTCAACGACGTTCGTGGGGAAACTTGAACCAAATTTTGTCATTTACTCGGCGGTAAAATTAAATGATTTTGAATATTGAATCACATCAGGTGCAAATAAATACAACTTCTATAATGTTGTCGTATGAAGTATAGGTACATGAAAATATAATTTCAGCTATGAAAGAAGGACAGTGTATTTAAAACGGCTGAAAATGTAACGATGATGAAAATATTATAGGTATAAATAGAAAAATCAAAGCAAATGCACAAGAAATTTATAAAAAATTCTATCAGAAATGTTCTGAAAAGTATATTTGTAGCCTGCTCAGGAAGCTCCAATAAATTGCGACGATATATAGCAAATAAAACCGACCATTTGAACCAACCTGAAAACATCATTCATTAATAGCAGAAAAATTATAAAATAAAATATATAATTCCGCAGAGGCCGATATATACATAAGAATTGTAATCCAAAATTAATCCATTCAAAATTGAGAATCGAATAATTTCAAATTTACATTGTCGAATCGAAATTAAAATTGTCGATTTGAAGTTAAAATTAGTTCATCATTTGCATCAATTATGATTCAGATGTGGATCTATAACGACTCAAAGGGAATCGCTGATACAAAGAAAGTGGATGTTGCCAAGGGCGAGGTTTAGAGGGAAATCCCTCTAGATTATTGGCCAGTCTCCCCTTTGATGACGAGAATCCCGCTAGCAACAATAAGAAGAAGATCGGGGGACTAGTAATGTTCACTCAGGGATTTCATTGATGATTCACCGTTGAATAAAACTGGTGAACGCGAGGCTAATGAAAGCAACATTAGTCGTTGATTTATTCATATTCGTAAATTAATCTAGAATTAATTAGTCGATTAAAGTCAGTCTCGACGCACTATTCAAACAAAGATCGCTTATATACATGCACAAGAACTTGTCAGTACATAAAATTGAATACAAGAATTTATGCATGAAAATTACCTGTTGGTAGACCAAACAAAATACAAAATTTATCAGCCTCATAGAGCCAGCCAATAGTCACGACCCGAACATTGTGATGTAAATTACCTCCAAATATCAGTAAAATTAGGAAGTGAATAAAATTAAATCAACACTAAATATAAAGTATATAGGTACGTATCATCCTATTAATTTTTGCATCTGCAGAAGCCAGCATACATATATAATACCGTAAAAATAATAACTTCGTTACTAAAATCAATTAAATCAATGAATTAAATAAATATATACAAATCCGTTTTTTCTTGAGGACTTTATTTACCTGTGTACTCGATTTAAACCCGTTTCATCACAACAGAAAAGCCGTTTCTTCTGATCATTTGTGAATATCGTGGCCACGCTTCCTTGCCGTGAAGAGAACATCCGGCCAAGCCTCAGTGTTCCCACGAGAACTTCTTGGGAACGAAATCTCATGAATTAAGTTAATCTTGCCATGGTATTTTACAAGCAATATTATAGTTCCGACAGCACATAATTATGCTAACTTAATTGGACTTGACCTTCATTAATGTTTCTTCTTAACCTAAAAACGCAATAAATATAAAATTATTCATAACGTTTAAATTATATTTACACGTAGGTAATATAGGTATTTATATTGTAATTTACTACTATATTTACATTATAAGTCGACTTCTGTTCCAATCCCAACGCCAGCTGCCCAATCAGCATTAAGGAATATCACTAGTTAAATATAATTTGATACTCGGAATTGCAAACGTAAACAGCTGTAACAGGAGCCAGATACAGCAACAGGAGCCAGATACGGCAACAGGAGCCAGATACGGCAACAGGAGCCAGATACGGCAACAGGAGCCAGATACGGCAACAGGAGCCAGATACAGCAACAGGAGCCAGATACGGCAACAGGAGCCAGATATGGCAACAGGAGCCAGATACGGCAACAGGAGCCAGTGACGGCAACAGGAGCCAGCGACGGCAACAGCTGCAACAGGAGCCAGTGACGGCAACAGGAGCCAGCGACGGCAACAGGAGCCAGTGACGGCAACAGGAGACAGATGCGGCAACAGGCGCCAGTGTCGGCAACAGGAGCCAGATATGGCAACAGGAGCCAGTGCCGGCAACATGAACCAGATACGGCAACAGGAGACAGATACGGCAACAGGAGACAGATACGGCAACAGGAGACAGATACGGCAACAGGAGCCAGTACCGGCAACATGAACCAGATACGGCAACAGGAGACAGATACGGCAACAGGAGCCAGTGACAACAGGAGCCAGATACGGCAACAGGAGACAGATACGGCAACAGGAGCCAGATACGGCAACAGGAGACAGATACGGCAACAGGAGCCAGATACGGCAACAGGAGCCAGATACGGCAACAGGAGCCAGATACGGCAACAGGAGCCAGATACGGCAACAGGAGCCAGANACACTGCTGGCAACACTGCTGCAACACTGCTGGCAACACTGCTGCAACACTGCTGGCAACACTGCTGGCAACACTGCTGGCAACTCTGCTGTCATCTACACAGAACTAGCAACGTCTATACAGAATTCTAAACAAAAATTTGCATAGAAGTTTACACAGACGTCTGCACAAAAACCTACACTGAAGTGTACCATCGAGTAATATGCATCATTCACTCATCATTTAATCATCATTTATTCATCATTCATCATTTATCATTCATATATTTTTTAATTTATCATTTATTTATCATTTATTTATCAAACAATTTATTCAGTTAAAGTCTGCCTTTTAGCGAATGTATACCATTCATATCTATCAGTCACACCCGAGAATACAAAAAAGAAATTGATTAAAAAGAAAAAATGATTAGGTACCGTATTTGAAAATAGGATTTAAAAATCAGCCTCTAAGTGGGAGAATGAAAACATGTGTGGATAAGATAACAAATTAAAAAGAAAAGAATAAAAAAAAGCAATAAGTGAGATAAGAGAAGCGTGTAGACCAGAAGTGAAGTAACGACACAGGAGGAGCGTGTGCGTTACATGACTCTGCCTCACGCTACCCACATCGATTGTGGGAGCCACAGCCTGGAATGCTGGGAATGCTGCTGGGAATCATGAAACTGACACTGGGAATCATGAAACTGAAACTCGGAATAATGAGGCTGACGCCGGGAAACCTGGAAGTGACATTGGGAATCATGACACTGACGCTACGAATCATGAAACTTGTACTGGGAAATGGGAATCATGAAACTGATGCTAAGAATCATGAAACTTATACTGGGAAATGGGAATCATGAAACTGATGCTAAGAATCATGAAACTGAAGCTGGGAATCATGAAACTGACGCTGGGAATCATGAAACTGACGCTGGGAATCATAAAACTGACGCTGGGAATCATAAAACTGACGCTGGGAATCATAAAACTGACGCTGGGAACCATGAAACTGACGATGAGCAACATGAAACTGACACTGGTAATCATGAAACTGTAACCTTATCACTTTAAAAACCATAACCATAGCAATACCAAGCAGTAAGCACCTACCACCGTCAGAACAATAACCATACCAACTCCACCAAGTCACCAACCATAGTTGAAACGAGAACATCCATAGCTGAAAAATCCTCACCTACACTAACAAAAACTCAAATGCAAAATATTGTATGCACATCTGCGTACGCAAATGATCAAACGCCACAAATGACACAGACAACAGGTGTGTGAACAGGTGCGAAAACAGGTGCAGGTTAATGCAGCAGACAGCAGCTGCGTCTTACTTAGCTTCAATGCTAGGCAGCTAGGGCACTGATTCCAAAAATTACGGCCCATTGAGTGCACATTTGTGTAGTTCATGTGGCTGAACAACTTGCTACGTAAGTGTAATATCGGGCAAACAAAAAAATAAATAAATAAAAACGACCTAGTTTGCAATTTCTACGTTCTCTCCTGTGGAACGCGAATTTTATCTCATGGAATAGACAGGTTAATTGATGTTATCGTATTTCCATGAATGGAAAAGTCTTGCTCTTGCAAAAAATCTCATCCGTATATTTACGTTGATCGAAAAAAAGACTCACTGCATAACGCTTTATTACGTTAATCAAAAATAAGGTTTGCAGCACAACGCTTTGTTACGTTAATCTAAAATAAGGCTCATCATTGCATTACAAACCGGACATGATGTAAATCATATATAATCAGCATCGCTTGATCAAGAAATACTAGACTGGGAATAGTTTCACAAAGACGATTAACAATCAAGAACCACTCACCTGAATGCGTCGATGATCGTTGTCGCAGCATAATCGTTGTTAATTTTATGTAATATATAATCGTCTGAGGTTTTCTGGTCTCCGAAGTTTTAGTCGACCAAAGGATGTAAGCGAAATTTCTTTCAACAGAAAGGGAAAATCCAAGAGGTTTTAGCACAGCCCGCTTACTGATCAGGGACTTGCAGGATACCGATGGGAACACAGCCTAGAACAACTGGAGGGGTTCGAAAAAACTATCAACTTTTCACTTTTACCTTAATTTACACTTTATTTTCACGTATTACTTCTTTAGACGTGATTTAAATTTCATTTCAACTTTATTTCAAATTTATGCATAATTAACGGTCACGTTCAGTTCAATGTACACTGATTGCACACACTTGAATTCGATTAGTAAATAATTTTCATAAATTTATTTATTTATTTCTATGGCTGAATTTTTAAATGAATTCATTAACAGTTTTATCTATGAGATAACCTGCAAATAAAAAATTGTTTAAAGAATTTTTAGGCTATTGAATAAACGAACTCGAAACGATGAACTCTATTTTTTAGTGTATTTATGTCGTCAGACGGCCACAAACAGGCAACCAAACAATTGGATATAATATGTTAAAGTATATATTATGATATAATATATTTAGTTATTAAAGATGAGAAAACCTCAATACTGATACTTGAATTGAATAGGTGATTCCTATTATGCAACACATACCTACTACTGTCTTAATCCTATTCAGGATGATGCTGCTATTGCGAAACGTTGCGTTTTGTTCGATTATTTAACATTACGGTACTGGCCGATAAATTTTTTCCACGATGTTAAGAACCATATTATTTCACTTATAGTAATCAGGCCTATTTCAATTTTGTCGCGTGTCGATCATGTCAATCAAAGCAAGATATTTAGTAACATGCAGATTTTTTCGACGAGTTAAAAAAATACAGTTGTGGATGCGGCACTAAATTCAGCGTGAAATTTTTGGAAGGTGGTTCATTTACTCGAGATCGGTCCATCCTGGTAACTTGTTCAGTTCCAAAATCTCATTCAACTGTAAAAGGTAAATCTAGTTTTAGATTTTTATATCCAAATTCTATTATGATAGGTGCATTTGTTCATACATTACGATGATGATTACCCCTCATGAATTTTACCCTAGGAGACTAATTGATCTGGTTAATTTTAATTAATTTTTGTGGTAAGCTTGACTGGATGATCAAAGCCGAATTAAAGCTCGTATTTTTCATCATCTCTCACATATTCTGTTTATCTTAAATAATTGTCTAGGACTAGGAGTTCCGGTAACCGTAAAAAGTTACGTTAATCATGAGAAGCTTGGAACATTTTACGTCTAGCTACGTCTATTCATACCTGAAGTCTGAACTCAATCATATTAGCTTCCTCAGCAATCATGCTGTCAGCCTGTCATGCATAGTCATCGGAAACATATTTAAGTAGGTAAAGATTAAGGCTACTCAAAAATATTTGTTCAAGAAGAACGTTTCTGAATCTGTCGTCTTTACACTGGATTACAAGCTGCAGCCAGACACTCAATAAAACGTACTCCGACATCGCAAAATGACCATTTTTTTCAAAGTAATCTAACTAATTACTAAACTCCCTAAAGCTTATAGTATCAAGCCTCTTCACACCAAGTGACTAACATTTTACTTCTTAGAACGTTGGGGACATGAACTTACTAGATATCTACAGGATTATCAGCAAAATCTTGACGTGCACAACTCCTTACTTTTAGTCTCACTCCCAGTATCTAGCAGTCTAGCACCACTAACTCTTTAGGTAAACGAACGTAATTTCATCATTTCAAGGTTTGTCTTTCATGTCAGAAATTTCATAAGTTAGGGCCGCTACACGTACACAAAATCTTAACGTTCACGACTCCTTACTTCTAGACTCACTCCCAGTATCTAACACCTATAACTCTTTAGGTAAACGAACGTAATTTCATCATGCCAATGTTTGTCTTTCATGTCAGAAATTTCATAAGTGAGGTCCGCTACAGGTAGACTCTGTCATTCGGAAGACACGCAAGGCAAGGCACGATGAGCTCGAGAGAAAGTTGCGCCATAACCTCCCACGATCGTTGCTCGCAGCACACTAAGCGACTGGTCATCCAGATTCCGCTAAATATTCGCCAGCGGACAGGGATGACCGGAACGGATGATTGATGGCAGGGACACGAAGATCGAAATAAGGGAGGCCTGGGTTTGCCGCTTTTTTATATTTTAATAAATCGTGAACATACATCATTATTTAACTATAATGTTGATGTTTTATTAGCTTTAATAGTGTAACATAAATCCGTGTACACTATTCGATTCTTTCATAGCTGTCGCAAGGTAATATGTTTATTATAACTAGAGAATGGAAATGAACACTAAACATCTGCTTTCTTCGCAATAAAGTAATAGTTCTTGTTATCTTATTAAGGAGTCTAACCAATTTTTTCAGAAATGTGTTTACTGGGTCGCTCAAAAACTGAAAATTGTTAGCTACTTTTGCGTCGAAATTTTACCCTATGAGAAGAATTAACACTGATGAAAGTTTAATTCAACCTTTAAATTTTATGTGATGACCGCATTAAAATTCTGGATGAATTTAAAACATAATGATGGTAATGAAATAGTATTATCGTGGGTGTTGGGGTAAGTTGCAGTTTAATTTACCTCATTTCTTGCTTTTAGGATCAATAAACATTGTGGTTTATCTCATATGAAAGTTTTAGAGGAGATTGTAACCATAATTTACCTCCATTACAATTTGTCATGGTAAGCTGGAATAATTTACCTCCATTACAGTGTGTTAGAATGCTAGTATAAAAAAACTGTAATTTACTCGAAATTTGGCCGCATGGATGCTGTAAATTATGTCATTCATTATTCTAGGAGCCTTTATTTCAAACCAAAATATTAAAAAAATTATTTTAAACCAAACCAAACAAAATTTTTTATAATTGTATGGTTCCCGTGGCATGTCAGGAATGTTGGGGGATCAAAAGTATGAGCCAACATGGAAATTTTATCCATAAATGTATATTAAAATAATTTTAAGATGAAGAGATTAATCTCAGTTGCATTGAATATTATTTTACACATTTAAATCACTCAATGAAATGCACATACAAAAACTGCGGACTGATTTGAATAAGTTAATTTTAGACATATATAAATATTCAAACGACAAACCCATACAAACTTTGTAGTCGAACATACAATGTGTGCATTGTAATCTTAATATGCGGGCATATATGAAAATATATGTACATGTGACTAGAATATATCAAATGTTAATGAAGCTTTTCAGAGATATCTGAAAACTCGCGTATGTAATCCTTTCTGCTATTGAACTGCACGTTTTTCAATGGATACAAGTGCAGAGAAGTTAGCTTCGCTAATTTGATCTTAAGCACACACAGAGAAGGCAGTTGGCTCATTAGTTTGCGTGTCTAGAAAGCTCTTTGGGAGATTAGCCTGCGTGGCAGCCATCTTATTTGCAAAAAAAATCTGTCAAACTAAAATAACTGGCTACATAAGCTGCAAAAATAGGTATCGTTTGATTTACAAACAGCCTTCTTGAGCACTTATTTTTCTTGGACACTTCTTAGGCAAGAAATTGCGAGTCAATTCAAGCGTGGGCCAATGCTTCGTTTTACATTCATAATAATGCTAATGTTATAAATTATTGAATGCAATTTGATCATTCGTCGAAAATATCGAAAAAAATAAAGAACAAAATGTGACCTTGTTGCAGCTGAACACCACTGTTAAAAATTTTCATTTAAATATCTAAATAATTTTATGAAATTCCATGGCTGAATATCTCCCCTTTTCTCCGGTCAATTTTATATTATTGAATTACCTAATCTTAATTAACGCAAAGAAATAAATGTCATTTCAATTTTCACCAAATTTTTCGTGCTACAAGCGAGTACGCTCGTATTCTATTAATGCACAGCTTACAGAATTAATTTAATGAACATTAATTAATTAATATTGATGTAATGATTTGGACAAATAAATTATTCATCTCGCTCCTATCTAACCGACCCCTGTAAAGTTGGCCAGGGTTGCCAGCCGGTCTTTTTTTCGGACAAGTTCCGCGATTTAGTTTTTTTAATTGCGTCGGCTGGCTAAAGTCTAAGATATGGTGGTACATCCTCATTTTTAAAAGTGCGAGAAAAATGAAAATGGAATTTTTAAACCGGAACCTACATATACAAGTATATATATTATATTATAAGTGCTTTTTTGATTCTTCTGTTCGCGGACTTGGCCGTTTCTTAGGCCAAAATTAAAATTACATTATATTGCAACTCAAGTTAAGTTGTCGGTTCAATTTAAATAATCTAAAATCAGATCACCTAGACACGGGACCAAATTGATCTTGAAAGTAATCAAGTTTAAACAACAACAAAGAAACAGGTGTGTAATTATGCTCCGCCCCTAATTATATGCTCTCACGAATATTTAGCGGAATATAACCTTATTGTATAATTAAATTTTATGTCCTTGTCCGAGTGTGACATTGCCTATAAAATCTATGCTACACATCATCCACGTAGAGCGCAAAACCGTGTAAAAAACTCAAAGTATATTCCAAAGGGAATTAATATTCCATTGAAAACGAAAATTATTCTGCTGGAAACCACACATTAATTAGTCTGGTGAACTGAAGTCTGTTGTCTGTTCAACGAATCATTACTATCAGGACAACTTCGGCGTCGTTAGAATTCTGTTGTTACTCTGAAAAATTTGAATCTCATCCGCATTCTTTTAAGTAAGGAATTATCATCCAGTTGCTCTCGATTATTACAAAATTTAGCATTTGCCTTAAAGCATATTTTCATAAAGAATAATAAATTCCACAAATTTAGTCACTTGTAGCAACATGAAAAATTAAGTAATTCGGCGCTCCTGTCAGTTTCTCCTGCATTACAATTGATGGAAACTAAGCATTCAAAATGCGTTTTTCCACAAAATTTAAATTGGCGGTACGCACAGAACGAAAAGTTTAATTAGACGAGTAAGATATTTAGAATGATTTAGAATATATCGCAAACTTAAGGCAGACATAGCACTATAATGGTCTATTGACAACATTTTTTAGTGGAAATTTTTTTATGTGATTAATGGTTCTTAGGTTTCAGGAATACATTTTAACAAAAATTAACAAACTTTCTAAATTAACAAAATATGATAGATTCTTCTGCTGAAGTGCGTAAACGATAATATTCCGATTTACCGACCCGGCCCGACCGAGCACGTACATAGAGCGACATACATGCAGGCTAGTCGACAGAAAGACGCAAAGGTTAGGTTAGTCTTCGGCACCACACCTTCGTTCGATCGTGAACTCCATTTGAAAAACTCACTGGGATATTTACCAAGTTGACAAAGTTTGTCCGACTCACGTCATAACATACTGACTACTGTAAATATTGAGTGTAGAGGAGTACTA